TACCCACTTTGATGCATTTTTCAAATTTCGCCTTGGGGCAGAGTTATCTTTTCACAGGGGGGTAAGTTACACTTTAAAGAGGCTGTCTGACCTGAAGGATTTCAATATAAGTCACCACTTCAACATGTTGCACAAAGCTAAATATGAGAAATATACTGAAGTTACAAAAACATAAWCTTAGACCTAAACACACAAGAGTCTAACCTCGAGGCGTCTGTCGTTCCACTTCAGCTCACTAAAAAGTGCTTTGTTTGTTTCAGTTTATGTTCATATTTATTAAACAAGTTCAGCTGTTATATATGTATTTAATTTTGTGTTGCTTTAATAAACATAAATACACAAACATTTTTAAAATGGCAGTTTTGTTACATTTGGGTAAGTGTGGCCCTCTGGTAGTGTCAACAAGAAAATTGGGGGGATAGGGTAGTTTCCAATGCCACAGTAGCAAAATGCTACGATGCTAATGCTAGGTCCTAGCCAGTTGTTACACCATCTATTTCACTCTATTATCAGGATATATAAATGAACTGTTCCGTAAATTTTTTTATAAATGTGCGAAGCGGCTGAGCTCACATAAACGCTGAGCTAGTTATGGAAACACCGTTGGAATTTGAACAAATTCAACTGTAAAATTTACTTAATACGTAAACTTAAAACCAAAGGTCCAGAATGTGTATCGTTTCAGAGCTTTAGACGAAAATTACATGAAGACCCAAAATGGCTGTTTTTTGTTAAAACTGAAAATAAAACAKCTAATAAATGATACTTTGTATGACATACATGCTACTGCTAAGATTATGTGTTTGAGAGGACTCAGCTACTGCCACACCAAACTTTAGCTCAGCATCAGCTAAATATTCAGAGCTACAGCCATTCCTGTTGGCTAGGTTTGATTAGCTGTGGCGGCCATCTTGAAATGGAAATATTTAAGAGTCGTAGATGTGTATCTAATGATTGTGTTACATAAATAAATAATGGATATTTGGAGCAGTGTCTATGACGATTCTGATTTAAATGATTAATTTTCACCAGACACTGAAATCCTTTTTTACAGTGAACTTTACAGTGAGCTTCTTCTAAGTCAATATTCACTGTTTCCACTTCTCTTCAACACACCTCCTCCTCCTGCACTTCTATTTCCTCTTTTTTTCTCTCTATTTTCCACTCATCTTTTCTCTTTCTTTTTTTGCTCTTTGACTCCTTCCTGGTCTCTTTSATTTGATTTATTTATTTAACAGGAAAAGATTACTAAAAATCAAGCCTGACTCAGCATAATTGCTGTTTTACAGCAGGTTCCTGTTCTGCAGCACATAAAACACTCAGAATTACAGCATCAC